TTCCACAGATCGGCTGTGAGGACGGTTCCGTTAAGATCTTCCAAGTCATTCCTGGAGGGATCCAGTTTGAGCGGAACCTGGACAGGCGGAAAGGTGAGTCCGGCAGCAGCACCATCCCTTTGTCCCCCCTGGTGTCCTGGTGACCAAGGGGCTGTGAGCCCGCGGGCTCACACCCAGAGCTTCCCTCCCCAGGCCGTGTGCTGTGCCTGTCCTGGCACCCCTCAGACACCCACATCGTGGCCGGCTCCATTGACGTCTTCCGCGTCATCGATGTCGCTTCAGGTACCTCCTGCCCTGGGGGTGACCCTGGCCTGTCCTACAGCACTGCCAGCACCCACCGGCCCCCTGTGCTTGGGGGGATCCCTGGCCACCCTCAACTGTCCTCCATGTGCAGGTCAGACTGTACAGAGGATCATGGTGAACTACCATGTGGAAAAGGTGAAGCGCGAGTGCGTGGTCTGGGCCATCGCCCTCCTTTCCAGAGGCACTGTGGTCACCGCTGACTCCTTCGGGAGGGTACAGTTCTGGGACTGGCAGCAGGGCACGTTGGCAGAGTCCCATACTGTCAGCACCTCGGCTGTGCTCTCGCTGGCTGTGGCAGAGGTTGGTGAGACCCCCATGTCCTCCCTCAGCTGACAGGGGCCTGTGGCAGCAGCTGCCGGGCTCGGTGCCTCCTGATGGTGCCCTCCCTCTCTTCCCAGTCTGCTCCCACAAACCCATTCCGGTTTTTGTCCCCAGAAGGAGGACAGCATTGTTGTGGGTACCTCAACTGGAGCCACCTACCAGCTGCAGCTGCTGCCAGTGAAGCTGGGTGGATCGGAGAAGCGCTGGGTGCGGACCAAGCCCTTCCAGCACCACAGTCATGATGTGCGGGCCGTGGCACACAGCCCCACCGCCCTCATCTCCGGGGGTAGGACTGCCAGGGGCACTGGGACAGGCTGGATCTCCCCTCCTGGTACTGGCTCAGCTGATCCCTCTTTGGCTTCCAGGTCTGGACGCCCAGCTGGTGATCCGCCCGCTGATGGAGAAGGTGCAGAAGAAGGGCTATGATGCAGTGCTCCGAAAATTCACCTTTCCCCACGTGAGTGATGCTTAGAGTGGTGTCTTGTGGCTGGTGGGGTAGGTGGGCAGGGCTGGATCTTTCTGCAGGAGAAGCTGGACCTCTTTGTCCCTTTGGGTGCCCTCCTTTCTCTGATTGGGTCCCTTTCCTGCCCTTTGGGTCCCTTCCCTGGCCCTGGGTCCCTTCCCTGCCCTGGTGCATCCCCTTCCTTGGACATGGTACATCTGGAGGCTTCTGCCAAGAAGCGGTAGAAGTTAGCAAGTTGGTCTTGCTGGTCCTACCAGCTCTCCATTTCCAGGCTCCCATCCCATGGAGTCTGTCCTCCCCCACCTTGGACTCTCCAGCACCCTAGGGTGTTCTCCTGGTGCCCCAGCCTCTTGTAACAGGCTGTGGATCTGTGACAGCCTGACCATTTCCATGACATCCTGCCTGTTCCTCCGCACAGCGACGCCTTGTCTCCTGTGCCAGGAAGGCCCGGCTGCTCCTCTTCCAGTTTTCCCAGCACCTGGAGCTCTGGAGACTTGGCTCCACTAGAGAGACTGGTGAGTCGCAGGTGTAGCTCTCCGGCATTGGCCCTGTGGCAGAGCCCATCTGCCCCAGAATTTTGGGATCGAGCTGTCCTGTGCCTCGGGGAAGGGTCTAGTTGTTCCCCCAACGATCCCCAGCTGCCCAACAGGACCTCTGTGGCTTTCCCACCATCACTGATGCTCCTTGTGCTTTCTTGTTCCAGGAAAGGATGGCGAGGTCCTTCCCTTGTGCCGCATGCCCGAGCACCTCGTGCAGCTCAAGAGCAAGGTAGGGCTGAGTGGGGCAGGGGTCCCCCTCAGAGGGGGGGACACGTGGTGGGCTCTGGGAGTCCCTTGGGCTCCTCTCAACCCTGCAGCATTCCCAGGGCCCAGAGCACATCTACTGCAGCTGTGTCTCACCCTGTGGCACCTGGCTTGGCTACTCCACCGCGTCCCGGTTCCACCTGTACCGCGTGCGCTGCGACGGCGTCAGCCTCAGGAAGGTCAGGAAGGGTGGAGGGGGCTGCAGGGTCACGGGGGGCTGGCATGGTCAGTGTCACAGTGATGACAGCAGTGGGTGGCAGCGGGGTCCTGGTGGGCTGGTGTGTCCCCGGGGGGTTGTCATGGCTGGTGTCACATGTAGGGAGCACTGGTGGCAGTGGGGTGGCTGCCAGGGCTGTGTTCTCCCCACTCCCAGGTCCCAAAAGTGCCCAAGCTGCTGCTTCCAGCCTACCAGCTCCAGTTCTCCGCCGACTCCAACAGCCTCTTCGTCGCCTCCGCTCGAGGATCTGTCCACGTGGTCCAGCTGCTGGAGCCAGGGGGCTGCAAACACCTGCACACACTTCGGCCACCTTCAGGTGTGGGCTGAGGGGAGCTAGGGGGGAGCTGGGTGTCCCTGGGATCCATGTCCCCTCCCTGCTGTGGGTGCAGAGAGGAGTGTGTGTCCCCCTTTCCTGTCATAGTTGTGTGTGGGTCCTTCCTCTGGGTGTTTGAGCCACCCTCATGGCCTGGCACCAGGGGGCAGGGGGAACGTGGGTCTGGGTGTCCCCTGGGGGGATCTGAGGCTCCAGCACCCCTTACAGCTGGAGGGTCTCTACAGGGTGCTCTGAGGCTGTTTACCTGCTGGCGCCAAGCGCAGACGGGCACTGGCTGGCAGCCGTCAGTGGGGACTGGGCCATCCATGTCTACAACCTGAAAAGCTTCAAGGTGGGTGCAGGAGTGACCCTTGCTACCCCCCTACCTTGAGGGACAGGGGGCAGGAGGCTCAGCGGGCACGGCCCCTCCCTGGGAGCCATCACTGTGGCCCCGGAGCAGGGCTGGGGTGGATATCTGGGAATGGAGGTCAGAGGTGGCCCTGGGGGCTCCACTTTGGGGGTGGATGTGTGGGGAGGGGGATCAGAGGCAGCCCCAGTGGATCCCATCAGCACACTGTCCTTCCTGCAGCATCACTGCGTGGTGCCCACCTACAGCTGTGCAGTGTCAGCCCTCGCCATCCACCCCAGCACCAACAACCTTGTAATTGCCTACTCGGACCAACAGGTAGGAGCTCTCCTGGTTCAGCCCTCATGTCCCTGGTCCTCTCCCTGCTCTCAGGGCTTTCCAGACTGGCTCCGGGGCCCATCTGGCTGTTGCTGGAGCTGGAGCTGCCCCTGTGCTGGTGTGGGGGTGATGTCAGGCAGGAGCAGACCCCCTGAGCTGCCCTGTGTTCCACCTTGTGCCTGTGCAGCTGGTGGAGTTCAGCATCCCTGAGCAGCAGTACACGGCCTGGAGCCGCACGGTGCAGAGACGGGGGCTGCACCGCTGCTGGCTGGAGCGGGACACGCCCATCACCCACATCACCTTCAACCCCAAGAATCCCTCACACATCCTCCTCCATGACACCTACTTGTTCTGCGTCCTGGACAAGTCCCTGGTGAGCCTGGGAGTGCCCAGGGCACATCCCTGAGGGAGGGGTGGTGGCCTGGGCAGTGCTGACCTGGGCCATGCCTGCTCCCCACAGCCCCTGCCCGATGACAGCACCCCCCTGATGAA